CCTCCTCCCTGCATGCCTTGTTGCTTTCCGAGGCCGCAATGAGAGCAGCACGTAGCTCCCCAGCAGCTAAAACCAAATGCCAAGCCGAGGCATTATTTGTTTATGTTTTGTGAGGCTTCTTTGGCTTTCTCACCAAGCAAGAGGAGTGTGGCAGGTTGGAAGAAACCAAACGTAGTTGTGGTGCTGCGGCTTCTCAGCCATGCAGTAAAGACTGACGCTTCCACAGTCCACCGCTTCACTTTTCGTCTCTTTTATTATCGCACTATATGTTAATGCTGCTGCGTATGACCACCGCCCTTCCCACCCACAGAGAGCAAGGTTGAGGGAATCCCACCGGCCTCGGCTCTCCTCTCATCTCCCAAGCCCTTCGTCCCTCGCAGACCGACACAGACTACACCTTCCCCGTGATGGATCATCAGCTCCATTCTCCAATAGAACAGCACCAGCTTTCTTTCCAGAGTAGCTCCAGTACTACCAGCGACAACAGCAACAGCAGTACCAACACCACCTCCTCTGCCGCCGCCGCCGCTACCGTCGTTGGGGACGCCGCCGCCGCCGCCGCTGGTCCTAGCAGGAGGGGGAAGGGCAAAGGTGGGCCCGAGAACGGGAAGTTCAGGTACCGTGGAGTGCGGCAGCGGAGCTGGGGGAAGTGGGTGGCGGAGATCCGAGAGCCGAGGAAGCGGACCCGCAAGTGGCTGGGGACCTTCTCCACCGCGGAGGACGCAGCCAAGGCCTATGACCGGGCGGCGCTCATCCTTTACGGCCCACGAGCGCAGCTCAACCTCCAAACCTCCTCCTCCGCTGCCGCAACCGGCCATCACTCCAACAGCACCACCGCTGCATCCTCCGCCACCACTACTCTTCGGCCGCTACTCCCTCGTCCCTCCGTCTTCCCCTTCCCCATACCTCCACCAGCCGGCGCCTCCACTTCTTACAACTACCCGCCCCCGTTCCTATACGCCAACATGACCGACAGCACGATCATGGCCCCCGGGCCCCCTATGGAACCACCAAGCGTAGAGGTCGGAGCGTTGGGGACCGCGCCGGGACCGGTCGTGGCTTCGGGGCCTAGCAGCCTCGGCTTCAGCGATCCGGCCATGGAGGAGATCAGCTCCTTGGCAGGGTCGGTCAGTTCGAGCTTATCTCTCTCATGCCCGCCGGTGATGACGACGGAGAGCATGGGCTCGGCGCCGCTCGTGTCCTCACCATTGTGGCCTTACGATGACTACGATGTGGCGGCTTCTTGCCTGTGGGATGAGACCGACCCATTCTTCTTCGACATATGACAGTACAAGCAATTAGGGTTTACTTTTGCATGCATGGTGATCCGTTCCAAGAATCCAGAATTCTTCGATTATATTGTTCTTTTCATAAGATTTTTTGTAAATTATTAGCCAGTTTGCGTGTTATACTTCGAAGAAGCATGTAGCTTTGTGGTGAACCGACCGAAGGATTTGCTTTTCTAGGGTTTGGGGATGAACGGAAGAGGAATAAAGAACAAGGGTCCGCTGCATGTAAGGAGGGAGCAACATGCAACAGATGGGTTAGTTTATTATGTATATTTTCTTGGAAGAATGTTACTTGATTGGTTTTTGGAACGATGCTACTTTCTTAGGCGACAATGTCATTATTGTGGATCGAGTGTCCTCTTCAAAGAAATTATGTGACTATGTTGTTTCTTCCTGATTGCATGTTCTTATGTTTTTCTCAAACATAACTCTACAAGATGAAAGCCATTGCTTGTTGAGAAACCTGCTAGATCACAAATACTTTTGTGTATTCATGTCCTTTATGAAACGAAGACACTTTGTTGTTGATGCATATGGATCTGTATGCTGCTACATGTTTTACAAGTTGAAACATGTCTTGAATAGAACAAGAGCATTATGTATCAGGCTACTATTATGTTAGTACTCACTCCATGGACAATGCGATTCTCAGTTGATGGAAGGTTTGTTCTTCGTTGGTGCTCGAGCATGAACTAAATGTATAGGGTTTTCATCTCAACATTGTTCTAACTTCTAATGATGCATCTCATATTTCTACCAAATTCCTGTTTCTGAAAGTAAATTATATAACAAAATATTGATGTGCCATATTTGTAGTCTGTATATCTGTTACTGTAATCAGATTTAGACTGCTTAGTGTCATTTAAAACACAGACTTGCTTTCTGCAGATGGTTCTTTTGATTGATGTCTTGCATCCTATTGAATTCCCTTCCACCATTATTGTATGTATATACATGACCTTTGATTAAGTGCTCATTAGCATTTCTTCCTATTGAATTCCCAAAACGTTTTTATAGCAGAAATATCATGTCTTTATCATGGATCATCCGAGGAAAAAACTGTTTTATTTGGAGTGAATATTGCCAATGCTGTAAGTGTCATGAAGTGATGTCTTATCTTAAGCCTTATCAGAAACGAAGCTGCAATCAGGAACAATATTCTTCATTCCTTAATTCATAAGTAGCTATCTTCGCTGCATATTTTGTTTCTTAAGTTGATAGATTGTATCAAGAACTGCCAGTGCTCTACATGGATAACACATATTAATCAGAAATCGAGCTACAGTACCAGAGACAGTGTCAAATGCATCATCATATCATGCATTCTAAGTTTCCAGGTTTCTGGACTAATTCACGGTCTGTTACCTATATATTTTATGCATATTTTAATATTATTTGTCTTGCAGAATTCTTTGTGAGATCCAAAGCCACAAGCTTTGATTGTTCTCGGGCGATTTCATTTCTTACTTCGGCTGCCTATTTTATTAGTCATTCTTTCCACATTGTTTGAGATTGTAGAAGATATATCAGTTCCCTTAGTATCAAATCCAGGCACTCACCATGCTGGCAAGTTGTGCCAAATAACAGCAGTTCTTGAATCTGCTTCCGCTGCTAATGAAATTACATTATGTGGTATAAAACTACTCAAGTGGTGATCTCTGCAACATTGTTATTGCATATATATGTTGTTGCTAAGCATTTTCTTTGACTTGTTTTGGATGGATGCCTTCTGTTTTCTAATGTGCTTTTACTTGGGCATATTGCTTCTTCATCAGTGACTGCGCTTCTCTTGTTTTCTGAAAGCAGGCAATGTGGTTGTTTAAAGCTATTTCTCCAGACTAATGTAGATATATATATTGTGGTGCATGCTGATTGTGATTGCATTCTTAAACTGTTTATGCTCCATGAATTGTGAGGAAAACAGCCTTAGAATTCCAACATTTACTCATTTGAAGCTCAACTTTGTTTCACACAGAATTCACCGACTCGCATTGCAGTAGACAATGGTAAGTATGATCGGATCAAATTCACTTACCCTCTTACCTCTTGCTGTTCTTAAACACCTGTGTTGCTCTGATGCCGTGTGGCAGCTTCCCTTCTGTATGGCCACCTTTTCCACTCATCCTCACATCAGAGAAACTTGCGCAGCCACGATGAAGCTGCTGTGAATGATTCAGAATAGGCTTCTTATATCAAGCTAATTCAGACAGAAAACTAAGAACAGGGCTGAGGATATATGTCCAAAGGGGAAGATGGCCAATGTATCTAATCCTATTAGCAACCATGGCAAGTCTCACGACACTTGCCATATCCCACTCCAAAACCTCACAAAACTCAAACCCATTACAAGCTTAGCCTCGCAAAACAACAGAAACACAATGAGGTATAATAGGCTAATATTACCTCGAATTCCGTCTTCATTTTTCATTCTTTTATAAAAATATTAATTTATTTAAAATATTTATATCTCGAATAATTTATTATTTTTATTTTCAAGGTTAAGTCATCCAAACTTTCCTCCATTGTGCAATATATATATATATATATATATATATATATATATATATGTTTGACTGTTGAACATTCATTAAGATTCTTATGTTATTACCGTGCCATTGTCGCGTCGATCCCATCACGTAGCTCGCATCTTAAAGCACGTCGTGTTAACGTTATCGGAGGAGGGAGGCGGTTTGGGTGTCACGCTGAAGTCTCGTGAGAGGTAGACGGAGGGGAAGGATGGAAGGGGCGAAGGATGCCGGCGGCGATCGCTCGGCCATTACCGTACAGGTCAAGTTCTGCGGCCGGACGCTGCCCGTCTCCCTCCCTATGGACGCCACGGTTGCCGATCTCAAATCGTTGCTGCAGCCCGTGACCAACGTCCTCACTCGCGGCCAAACCCTAATCTGCAAAGGTACTTCCTCCGTCACCCTCTCCGTTCTCTCTTTCTCACTCGCATCGCAGATCGTGCTTCTTGTTCTGAGCGATTCAGGGTTGTTTGTTCGATTCGTGATGCGGTACTAGGGATAGCTTCCGAGCACTCTGAAACTCATTCAGCTGGAAGTCGATTCAGTGGTGGTAAATGGATAAAGGACAATTGGTGTTGGTTAGCTGCGGGGAGTTCACAATTGATTTTTTACTTTCAGATTATTTCAGATGAAGTGGTTATCATATTTTCGACAGCGGGCAGGCGAATTTATGTAATTTATTGTGTGAAGAAGAAGGTTGTCTCATAAAATATATCTCTAATTTACTTCATATCAATTGGCATGCTCGTGTGCCAACTGATTCAAGCCAAATATTGGCTGCAGCATGGATCAGCATGCAGAGTAATGATATTCTATGATTCATTTAACCTATGCTTAAGGTTTTCTTTTCCTTTCACTAGTGTTTGCACTCTATTATGATTTTTAGGTGCTCAGTTCTACTATGTTTGTCAAATAACCCACATTCTTGGGAAAGGCAGGTGCATGAGGAGATAAGGAGAAAAGGAAAGGAATACTCAACTGATTTGCACCAGTTAATGGATAGAAAATATTGGTACTTGTGCATGCCAACTTGTGCTGGAGAGTTTTGTCATGTGTCCATTGGCGCAGGTCATGCCAATCAGCATGCACCAGTTAATGGATAGAAAACTATTGGTACTTGTGCATGCCAACTTGTGCTGGAGAGTTTTGTCATGTTTCCATTGGCGCAGGTCATGCCAATCAGCATGACAGAGTAATGCACTTTGTCAAATGGGATGATAATCTTCAAGAAAATGGATATCATTCAAAGAACAAGGCCCTAGATTATATATGAAAAAATCATGTGTTAAACATTATCTTGGAATGAACTCGACAATCTCCCGTCCAAGCTTACTTTTCTGGGACACAGTTGTTTTTTCTCTGTCTGGGGATGTAACATGCGTACAGACGTAGAGAGTGACAACCCAAAGTTCAGTAGCAATTTTGTATACCAGGATGCAGTGACTTATAGTGAAATTATGCTTCACTTTGAAACTCAGTCAAGATGCAATGTTTGCAGCATTAGCCATGGGTTTTTGGGATACCCGTAATTCACAACAGTAACCTATGTCTATTGCAGGAAAGGTTCTTGCAGATAAAGTGAGCTTGAAGTCAGTGCCAGTCACGAATGGCTCCAAGGTTATGTTGATAGCTTCTCAAGGTCTTCATCAAGGGGTAATTTCCTGGCCTTCTTCTTTATGGTTGCTACAGGTGCACTTTATATATGTTGGAAGAAAACCGTTTTTAAAATAGTAAAAAAAGAAGACAAGTGTTAGTTACACCTTTTCACTTTTTTGTTAAAATTGAAGTCATTTGTCTCATGGTAGGTCAAGTCTTTTCTCATAAGCTTCACCCCCTATCATGGTAAACTATATCGAGGATTTTTTGGTCTTAAAAATCTTTTGGAAATTCATTTAGGCCTGTGTATGCACTCTAATTTTTCATCTTATTTATGGGCTTAATTTTTTTTGGAAATTTAATTAAGCCTGCTGATTACTAGAACTTGAAAACTTATTCATGGAGTTTATCAAATTGTTAACTAATGCTGAAGATCAGACCAAATATGTTGAGACATTTTTAACAAGAGCATCTTTCTTGAACAGGATGGTCCCATAACCAAAGATGCTGCTACTCAATCAATCAGCCCAAGGAAGCTTATTGATACTAAACAAACTCAAGTTAGTCACACAAGGACAAATGTTGAGAAAAGTCGGTCTGAAAGATGGAAGTTGACTGGTGTTGTAGCTCTATCAGAGTGTCATTTGGAGGTACACAACAAAGGAGTTGATTTACAAATGAATCTTTATTCTTTCTGAATATACATTTCAAGAATAACTACTGCTCATCGTTACGTCTTAATTAACTTTTTTAATTAGATATTTTTATAATAAATGCGTATAGATCACTAAATATAATTGTGTGCTCGAATGTTGTGCTTGCTTTTACTCAAAGGGCTATATCCTGTTTATGCTCTATTGATCACTAGCACCAGGTTGTGATTTAGTTTATTCATGTTTTTGAGAAGCCATGAAACCTATGATCCAGAAATGCTTTACTTTTGGAATTCTGGAGATTGCTCTGATTAATAGTTTCTTTTGTTGTGCTATACCTAGTATTGTTTTTTATATAATTCTGATACAATGTGAAGCATAACCATTTGCACATTTAGGGTGCTAATGTGGTTTCATCTGATAACTAGTTGAGGTACTGAATTTGTATTTATTGTGTTTCTCCATTCATATTTTGATAATTCTCTTTAAAGCTCTCTACAATATGGTGTGTACATGTCTTATTGAAATTAATTTATTTTAGTTTCGCTCAACCATTTATTTGACCCGAGTTATATTGAAAGCCTGCCATACTAGTCTCATTTGACTTAAGTTATTCTAATTGGGATTGGGCTGTCAATGAACATGTTCTATATATATATATATATATATATATATATATATATATATATATATATATATTTATCGGGTGAAATTTATAGCTTGCTTTTCTTCCTTTTAAACTCGAGAATCCTTTGTGTATACATTGATAGGCAATGCCTGAAGAAGTTTGGTCTTGTGGACATTCTGTAAGAGTATTGGACGTCAGCAACAACTTGATTAGAGATGTACCAACTAAAGTTGGTGATTTGAAGTTGCTGAATGTAATTATCTTTGCCTTTTTTTCCCAGTTGGTTCAAGTTTTTTGGTCTCACTAGAACTTCTTATATGTTATGTTTTATAATTCTGAGGCTTTTGAAGGCTACTACTGATGTATATTTCAAGAATGCAGCAAATTTTTTATTCTGGCTTTTCTTCATATGTCTAGAAATTGTTGCTGAATGCAAATAATATAACAGATGAGAGCATAAGCTGGGAGGGTCTATCATCTTTAAAGTCTTTGACTATCTTATCATTAAGCCATAACTAGTAAGTATCAGATTGATACTTCTGATATATGATTGTTTTTTATTTAATTTATGTGTCAATTATTTTATTTGTGTCATAATGATAATTCTAGGAATCTATATGTGTCAACTGTTTAATTTATGAAACATTGATTTGAAGGTTGGCTAATAGTTTATTGTTTACTTTATATGAATCTGATGAATATTCTTGTCAGTTGATTGAATGGTTCATTTAGAATTAAATAAACAAGTTTTATAGGAACCTCTTGGTCAGTCAAGTTTGGGCTGATGTATAGAAGCACCACATCACCTTATGCTTCTAAAAGCCAAAATTATATGTTTTGCAACTTGTTTTTGTGGTATTTAGGCTTTCTTGACCTGTATTTTCTTCCAAAACATAAAACCTTTTTTTTAAGAATCTATAAATGTTAGAGATAAAATAAGCAGAATGATTGATAGAGTGTCAGTCCACATATAGAACTTTTAGACTTAAACCACTCATAATTTGCAGGCCAGTATACATTTGTGTTGGTGTTTTTGAAATATAATGCACTTTAAACTTTACAAAATGAGTAAAAATTGCCATAAGAAGCCATAGGTTAAGCAGTAAAGATGGAGATAAAAGCCCTGAAGTTGCACTCTGCCACCAAGATGTTATTAGATCTGTGAATAAGAAACAAAGTTTTGCCATCAATGCATCCTTCCACAAGAAATCCATCTGATTTAAGTTGAAGCTAATTAGGTGGAGGAGGTTTCTGCCTAATTCAAGGTATTGAGGCACATTGTTCTCGTCAAAAATATAGGAAGAGGCAATGCAGTTTGTGGTCATTGCAAAGGCCCCATGCATCAAGAGGAAAGTTTGGCCTGGTGGCTGCGAAAGAGGAGTTTGTTCGTTTGCTTCAATAGAAGCAAAAGAGTTTTATAAATGCAAGACAATGATAATAATATTGAGTACCAAACTTATCCAATTTGGATCCTGATTAAGCCAGTCACCATCAGCACAACTCTTGATATTCTTGAATCAGCATGACAATCAGACTTGAACAACAGTCCAATAGCAAGCCATAAAGTGACACTAGAAGAACAGCTATGTAAAATTGTCCATTAGGTCCACAAGAAACACAAGTCTGGTTGCCAGAGATTCCAATGGAATTAAGCCAGGGTCCAGTTGGAAAAATTTTCATTTGTATTTCCATGGAAAGTTTTGAACATAGGGACAATATGAACTTATGAGCTTAGGCCCCCTACCTGGCTCTCTCTCCTCTTGGCTGGGTCTGTACTGTTGAATCTATAGATACTTTTGGAGGTCATCTCATCATTAACATCCATGCGCCAAATCTAGATGGCATCATTGTGATTGGATGGCACCAAATATCAACATGAATTACAAGGGCTGGGCCACAAAAGGTCAAGAATAATGTCTACCTGTTCAATGGCTATGCTCCATTAGATCTGATACTACTGTAGTTAGACAAAGAATGCATGTTCATGAACATAGGAAGCCAATGAATCATTCACTAAATATTAGTATTGTTGCCATCATTATTAATTGGGAGGAATCAGCTTTAAGAACAGTCACAGAGTGGGTTCAACCACAAGTTCTAGAAACAATATTTTGGATCATGAATATTCCATGGTGTTGGTTTCATATTTGGCCCTAGTGATGCCCACCTGATCAGACAAGGAATTATTAAGGTAAAGCAAGAAATCCTGGAGAGGCCCTTAAAGTGCTGAGATAGCACACAGCAAGCTTTCTAGAGTTGTAGGAGAAAAAGAGAGCATAGTTGCTGGATTCTTACACAACTGTCTTTCACTAGAATTTTGCCCTGGAAGGTCTTGTATACAACATATAGGCTTTCAGATGTTTGACTCAATGTAATGAAATGTCTAACATACACAATATATACTAAAGTAGTTTAAGAACACTGGAAGAGTTGAACATAGTTTTCTAGAATTTACATGGTCTTAGTTGAATAGAACTTCAGTAACATGGTGGCACACTGAATGCAGCCTTACTATTATTTGCATGAAACTATTTTTTTCCAACAACTTTCACTTTAGAAGTGCAATGTGTTACCTGGAAAACCATGTGTTGATTGTGATCCTCTTTTCTGCCTGCTTCCTATTGTTTCTGAACACCATGATCTGTTTCATTGTCTTTTGTCTGGCTTCAAAAAATTGCCACAGTATTTGATACAAGCCATTGAACTGGCAATTCATTTTTATCTTCAGCCTCCCTTGTAGACATTCCTATATATACCTTGCTCTTTTTGTTAATGCAAATTAATGCAGTAAAAACATTATTGTTGGATGTATCTGCATCGTCAATTAGTGAAAGTTCATTTTCGTACATTTTCAAACATAAATTGGTTCTGTATACTCCCATAACTCTTCATATGTGCTATTTTTAAGTTTATCAAGGCTGATCATAGAAATTTTGATATATATTAAAATATTGGTCATTTGATGAAATTAATGTGATAAATTCAGATCTTTTTATTCCTCGTCATTCTTAATTCTACTGATTCCTTCTTCATCTTACTCATTTGATTTTTAGTAATAAACTTAAGTTTTTGATCACTCATATTCTTCGGATAGTGATTCTGGTTGTCTGATGCCCACTCTTTTGGTTAATTTACTCAAAAAATGAGTTGGTTCCAGGTGATCTTAGTCCTTAGATATATCTTTTTGTTGCCTTTGTTTCTTCATGTTGGTTTGCTTAATGAATCTTAAATGCTTTTCTTGATTTAGTTTTCTATTATACATGGTGACATGCCACATTGCTCAAACTTCTACAACTGTGGTTATATGTATTTGCTATGATATTCTTTTATGCCAAAGAGGTGTCCTATTATGTCTTGTTATGCCCTCCATAATGAGTATATCTTTTATTAAGAAAGATTCTAAGCTAGTTTACTTGTAATCTTTGCTTTTAAGTTAACTTGACAAATTGTTTTGTTATTTTGGCAGTTTAACTACGTTGCCATCTGCAGTGGGTACCTTGACTTCTCTTTGCCAACTTCATATTGCAAATAACAAGATAACAAGCTTACCTGATGAATTAGGATTGCTCAATCAACTTCAAATTCTGAAGGTGGCCAACAACAGGTATTATCTTTTTCTGTTACATAATTAATTTAATGTTTCACATATCACAAGCTTCAGATATAAGTAGAACATCTTATTTATGTTTAAATACTAAATGATTAGATAAATTATGTGGAGTGACTGTTCTGAAAGGTACTAGTGACAAAATGGACAAAGTAATGCAACAAGTGCATAGACCATACCTTAGAAGTTCTCCCTCCCTCAGTACATATTGACAAGTTTGCATGTTTAAAAATAGAAAGTAGGTTTTCTCAACAGTCCAAATTATTGCTAGAATTGAGAAGGCCAACAATGACAACCAGAACTGAGGTCAATAAAGTAGTTACCTTCTCAAAATCTCAACATATGTTTCTCTCATCATACATATACTACTGATGTAGTGATCATTAATCTTTAAACATTATTATTGTATTGCTATCACCATCATACGATTTTTCAGATTTGATGAATTAACATCACTAAGAATTTGAACGTAAAAAAGCTTCACTTTTTGGAGGTGAAAATTTTGACACCTGGTCAAGGTATACACGCACATAAAGAGTACTCAGCAAGGGATCATGTGACAAAAGATCTGAGGCTGCTTGCCTTTATATTTGCTACATGGAATTGGCATATAAAGAGAATATACTCAAGGATGTTAGTCGATATTATTATAATTTGTCAGTTTAAGTACTCTTTTAGACACTATTAGTTTATGTCTTACTACCCGTGGAAATCATGTGGAAATGAATTTATATGTCTATATATATATATATTTTTTTTTTTTTTCTTTTTTGACATTTTTCCACCATCTAATGGCAGGTTGAGCTCCATGCCTTCATCTATAGGAAATTGTCGAGCCCTGGTTGAGGTAATTGTGCCCTTGCTATATGCATATCTAGGACTTTGCTGTGAAAAAAAAAAAAAGGCATACATTAATGTATCGCATCATCAATTTGATTTTTTCACTGATGCAGATTGATTTATCATGTAATCTACTAGTTGATCTGCCAGAGACAGTTGGGAATTTGCAAGATTTAAAGGTCGTATTCTTCTTGATATTTGTAGGAATTATGAAGTTTCTACCAAGTAAAGAACTTTACAAGTTGAATTGTTTATTTGTGTCTAGTAAAAAATAATGAAAATATGTACTTAAGAATTTATTTTTTATCAAGCAATACACTTCCATTTTGATTTTGATGCCATAGTTTGTTCATTGTTGTTAAAATAATTTGTGTGCGAACAGATGCTCGCTTCATAGTTATGCTTGTGGAACATTAATTACTCTGTTGTAGCGTAAACATTTTTGTTCAGTTATACTGAACAGGTGTACAATTCTTTTTCTCTAGCTGTATGGAACCTTTTAGGCAGATGTATTTAGGCAGCTTTATATGTTCAAGTTTTAGCAATTGGTTACACTGTTGCTTCTTTTTTTTCCATCTTGCAGTGATTATGTAGTTTATTTTACTGTATCAGTAGTTATTGCTCATGATTTTTTGCCTGTGGTGCAGGCTTTGATTCTTAGAAACAATGGTCTTAAATCCCTTCCTCCAACATTATTTAAAATGTGTTATCAGCTGTCGACGCTTGATCTTCATGGCACAGAAATTACAAATGACTTTCTTCGCCAGGTACTGCTAGCTTATATTCTGATTTTTTTTTTTCTTTTGCAATCTTTTTTCTTCTGTGGCTGGAACATGATGGCTTGGAAAAGGGTGAAAGCAGAAAGAGATGTTCATGTTCTATTTTAGTCTGCATGAGTTATTGTTTTGTATTTAATACTCCACGCTTCTCTGTATCATATTTTTGTGTATATTTCATCTTTTTAAAATCTTGTCTCTTGAAATGTTAAATAGATTGAAGGATGGGAAGATTTTGATGAACGAAGGCGGTCAAAGCATCAGAAACAACTTGATTTCCGTGTGGGATCCTCAGGAGTGTTTGACGAGGGTGCTGATGATGACAGGGCCCTTAAATAGGGTTAATTGCTCTAGGTATTAGATTTGCTTATTCCTTTTTCTTATAAAGTTTATCAGTTGCTCGTTGATGATTATATTTGCTAGTAGAGTTTATGATTGACTAGAAAACTTATGAGATATACGTATATGATTCCACAGCAGGTATCTCTATCAATCTATTTCTGGTCTGTTGTAATGGTTTTACTGTAGCTTCGTGATCTGTAATGGTGGGATATCTATTCAAATATTTTTTTTATGTTAGCACGCACCCGAAAGGTCTCCAGTTATACATGGACACTCTCCAGTGGCAAATAACATAGGCACAGTAACTACCCTGTGGCTTTTCTCGTATGGTGAAAGTGGCCATCAAGTTTACTTCTTTGGTACTTTTGTCCGGTGGTATTACTCTGCAGGGTTTGGTAATTTATTGAATGAGCATTTATAAGAAAAATATAAAGCAATGTATTATTATCAACAATAGAAGTTAAATTTATGATATGTTTTAAGATTATTAATCAAGTTTTATGATCATAAAATTTTATCTTATGATTTTTTCTTTAAGAATAATAAGTATTATAGTAATTCTATGTATTATGATACAAAGCACTTGATAGTTAGTCAGGAAAAAGAGTTTGAAAATAATTAATATCAATTAAGAATTTTAGTTTAATTATATTTATTGTTGATTCATTTACTATAGTATTGTCATCTAAAATGTTTGAAAGAATATGTTCTTTTGATTGAGTCGTAATCCATAAAAATTATAGCCATCGAATAGGTTTATAGATAAAATAAATGTTTTTTTTTCTTTTTTTTCTGTCACATCTCAACAACTCTTATTTAGGAGACTGACTTATTTTATCTTTGAGTATGATCTTTGTATTCAATAACTGTTGTGTATATGAGTTGTCTATTCAGGTGTATTGTTGATTCACTTGTATTCGTCATCTTTGCATTTGTGATCGATTCATCCCAAGTCCATCAGGCTGCGTCCGTCCTTGAGGACCTGAATGGGCTACAACTGGTTCGGCACTCTGGTCAAAACCCGACCTTCTCCCAGCTTGAATACCATCATTAGTAAAGCAAAAGACAACTAATCATTTTCTTTACACACCACCACGACCGCTGCCGCCTCACTTGGTGACATCATTTGCTAATGCCTTCCCTTCTCTCTCAGTGACCAGTCTTTCTTCCCTGATGCTGATGGCCACCATCGCCTCCACAGGCACTGTGGAGGCATCATCGTAGCTCTGGATTCATTCAACTAAAATAGTTGTGGACTCGTAATTCCAACCAAGTTGAGTTCCTATCTGCTCCACTGCTTTGAAGTTTTAACTTCCTGTCTCCACCAGATGAAATTTACATGCATTTTTTCTGTGCCGACATTTAAATCCCCCCCTATTTTTGCGTGTATGACTGACGACGACACAGTAGAACTTTGTGTTCGCCGACCTCACAGTGTGTTGGAAAACATCGTTACTGATGATGGTCTGTCTGTCTGTCGATCCTTATTTACCGAGTTCAATCTGCCTTGGAGAAAGATAATTAATCTGTGGAAGGAGTATTCGGCAGATCGAGTTTCACAATGTCGAATACTTCTCCCTCTAGTTGTTACTTTTAAAATGGTGCTGATATCATAAAATTATTATTACTAATGTTGTAAGTATAAAAATTATAATATATTATTATTATATAAAAAATTAATGTAAAAAAAATAAATAATAATAGGTCATATATATATATATATATATATATATATATATATATATATATATATATATATATAATGTGTATCCTTTTTTATATCATTCAAAAAGTTTTTATCCGATTTACAAATATATTATGATTGGATCCGAATACTATAGCCAAACTGATCTTCAACAAAAACTGGACTCGTTTCTTCTCTCTTCATGTTATTGAACCACTATAAGCAATGGATTAGAGACAAAGTGATGATGATGAGAAAATATATGTAATCTTTTAATAACTGACTTATGTGATTAATGAAAGATGTAAGTCTTACATATTTAAATAATTAGGAGAGAATAAATAATTAGGAGAGTCTATTATGTTAAAATCATCTTCTAACGAATTATATCATAATTAAATTTTCTTTCGATTGATTGATGATTATTATTAAAAATATAATCATATCTATAATGTATTTTATCTAATTATATAAAATTATATAATCTTATAAATATATTAAATCTTATTGAAATTATTATTGTTATATTTTTATACATTTCAAGAAGGTGTATACTCTCCTCCAACAAATACAGATTTCTTTGAAGGGCGCCCAAAAGAGATGGATGCATATGAGTTTGATCGATCACATCATATGAAATATTCAAACCTTATCAATTAATCTTCTGTTTTGCCGCATTATAATAGAGTCTATCTTCAAATTATTTCTTCCAGTATTTTATTCATCTTCCTCCATTTCAGCAATTATTAAACAATATGTCCATGGCATCTATCTTTAATATCTTGCATCATAAAGTAACGCTGCTTAAATAAATTTACATACATAGCATAGTGAACCCTCTAATTAGGCTTTGAACAGGTCATTCAAATCGGGTTCAAATTTGGGTACTGTTGGTGAACTTATGTGCCGATGCCGAGCAGTCGCTTGGTCTAAGGGTTGATATCTAGAGTTCTCGATCGTTTGGAAAAAGTGCTAGAGCCGGTTGGATCAAGGGTCGGGATGGTTGCGCCTTCGGGGGTGGCCGAATTCCTGCACACAGGCCTTGGTCGGGGAGGTTCCCGACTTAGGCCCCTTGTAGATTAAGTCAATGATCTTGTTTTTTCTCTTACCCCTGGCCAGGTGCCGGCCAGGGGTTTTAATATTGTTGCTCGAGGATCGATCGTATGCGGACTTGGCGCGACGATCAACCCCCGAGTGATGAGATAGTATCTTCTACACCCGTCGCCCGATATGCGTGGAGCGATGCCATACGACGCGGTCCTGAGCTTTCCGGGACGGGATTTACCGAGGGGGTGTCTCCTTGTACGAGCTTCAGTTCGGTGCGGGAAGTCATCCCTCGTGCTGACTCGACAGGGGTGTGAAATAGCATGGGTCATAATATGGTCGGGATCTAAAATATACTCTATCAGGTGCAATCGGTGAGACTAGACCTGCCTTCTCTACTTCAAACAACTTGATCTGCTTGGAGAGCTAATATTCGGTGCTCATGTCTAATTTAAAGAGCGCTTCTATTAGCTTGTGACCAAATTCATGCTCGTCGTACACAAACAACTTATCTTTTGAGATTCTAAGCTTAAAAATCTATCTTCGTCACTTTATCTTTTGAGATAAAAGAAATAGGGAGAGAAGGAGAGGCATACACAGAGTCGAGGATCCAAACCATACAAACTAGTCGGTATCCAAGCCATCACACTCGTTGCCATCCCCCCAACAAACTGCCTTCACCATCGAACCTGACGTAACCCACGCAGTAGCCTTTGATTAGATGACACCCCTCCCTGAATGATTGAAGGAATCCTTTGTGACCCCGTCAACGAATGGCAGCAACGTGTCCACCGGAAGGGAGAGGAGACACCGAGGGATACGCTTATGGGTGAGGCATGGCTTGCACCACCACTGCATTCTTTTGCCTCTTCTACGAAACCTCTTCTGCGTTCCAACGCTTTCTCCTTCTCGCAAGGAGGGCTTGCCAACAAAGGGAGAGCGAGAGAGCAATGCGCTACTGTCGATTAAGGGGAGGAAGAAGGATGATAATTCGTACGATGCCAACCACGATGGTCTATAATAATAATTCCGCACCCAACACCAACCAAAATGGTACGCTCTGAGTTAATGGGTGAAGCGTCCATGTCCCGTGATAAAAACTCTCTATCTAGTCTTTGATGTATTCCTCTTCTTTCACCAGCACATGTTAAGAGAATTTACTCTCGTCCACCCTAACGAGATGATCCAATCTTGCTATATATGCCTTGCCTGCATTCCTCGAGAGAAAGTAATTGTTGTACTCATCTCTTTAAATCAAAGTTTCATGCATACATCCCTGCAAAGCTTATGAACTCATTCTCTCATAGTCAAAATGGTTTTGTCAATACACCTTAAAAACAGTTATGATGGCATTATAATCTATACATATATAATGATAACATTTTTTCCTGCTCGAAGTGGGCAAGAATAATGAAGATGGTAAAAAGCACACATTTAAGGCTCTGTCGGTGGCTCACAGTCCTAAAACAAAGGCTACAGCCTAAAGGGTTGCTTAGAGTTTTAGCTTCTATATGCAATCCATAATATAGCACATAAATAGATTTGTGAGGGTCCATTTGTCATGCTTTTTCCAGTCAGATGTGGATTCTCAAACATGTAGTAGGGTTCGACTTCCATTTCCCACTCAATCATGGCATCTGATACCACGGAGAGACTGTGTTCTTCGGTCATACAGTACAGTGTCGTCTTTACAGATCCATCCTATGAGGCTACACCAACTAAAAAAAGAGGGTGAAGAAATATCTCTTGGGAGATTTATGTCAACATCCCTAACGTGATCAATCAGCTGCCATGAGTTTGCTTCTTCAAGGTCACACCAGGCGTCTCAATGTGACTTCTTTTTCTTTCTCTTCTGCTTGTGGGGGAGTTCGCATGTCACATCTGCAAGTTCTCCTTGTCAAAAGCCACATCAAAATGAAGTTTGTTTTGACCTTCTTTCTTGAAGAAGTTGATGAATCGTCAATGGTCTATCGCAAGTGCAGATGTTCACGAGGGAAGATAAGATGTTCTTATGATCTCGAGGCTATATAAAAATACATATATGATCTCAAGGCTATATATAAATACATATGTAAAACCTTAACAATACCTATCTATCTATACATAATCTTTCCTAGAGATATTTGTCTATCAATCTGAAAAAAAAAAAGAATTTTATAACTTAATATTAATTTCATAATTTAATCGTCATTTACCAAGTATTTCATTATAAATGTAAATTTCGACATAGAAATTATAATATCCTAGTTAGTCCCAGGACAAAATTAAGATTGACTTATAAGGGTCTAACGAGTATACTATTATCAACTTTAACCTAAGCATTTTAGCCAATGATTTGAGCTAATCAAAGTTGATAGATCAGTTAGCTCATCAAGTTTGGATCGTGATACTTGGTATCAAAGTCGATTTAGTATTTAGACATGGTGAGGGAGCTCGAGTAGGAAAAAACTATTCGTAAATAGAGTCAAAGGACTCATCACGTCGTGAAGCCACAATTAGACTACGACTCATATGCA